CCCTCTGGTATCTTTCGTCCCTCTTTTAATTGTCTTTCTCATAAAGATGTACCATAAAATAAAAGTCGGATACCCCTTTGATTTATTTATACGTCTTCCTATGGACTGTTACCTTAAAAGGGACTGTAATCTTTAAAGTTACAACTTTAAAGATTCGGCGCATTGTGTCAAATTACATATTGTACAGGTCAAGTCACGATATTAGGTAATCATCGTATTGTCCGGAATATTTATGTAGTGTTTGATGTTGGATGCACCATTGACAAACATCCATCAATCAATTATGAAAATAATATCTCGGTTTATGAACAATATTTCAAATACCCATATAACATGGGAGCTGGATTTATATTTTTTTAATTGAAACACACGACCATTTATGTTACAATGTGACGGGTCTTGTTCTGCAGTAGTTTTTAATATAAGCTGTTGCTGTTTTGGCGCACGATGATCCCATCATGCAAATCTGTTGCAGTGAACGACTCATTTGGCGACAGTTATCTATACCGGCCGTGTACGTTGGTAGCAGAATTTTTTTTGAAGGGGGGAATCATTCCATAAAATTGAGTAAACAGTGCCATGCGTAGAGAAACGAAACAATTATTGTACGATTTAATGTTAAAAATATATATCTATTTTCCAATCAAAGGTCGAAGATACTAAGGCCCCTGCCTGAATCCGCCACTGGATAGGGATAAGAAATGTTAGGCGCGGTATAGTTTCGTGGTAGACTTCTGCTTAGCTAGAGCTTAATATGCTGTATGGGTTTTGATCATTATTGAAGGGCATACATTGACCTTTAGTTTCTAACTTATACGTTATTTGGTCTCTGACTTGTAGAGAGTGTTTCATTGGCAATCATACCACATCTTTTTATTTTTATTTTAAGTCTTATTCTAATGTTTACTGTACGATTTCCATCTGGAAGAGAAATTAACAACGCGCGTGTAAAATTCAACTGAAAGTTTATTTGAAATACTGGCCAGAACTTGTTGTATTTTAGGGTTCCAGTAGGTCACGTAAAAAAAGGCTTTAGGTCACTTTTAAGCAAATTAAAACCAAAATCCCCATACAGAGAGTAACATAACGAACGTGATGAGTGGAGCAGGAATTGTTGAGCTTTAAGGGTGTGAGTTCTATTAGTGTGTTTGGGTTTAGTGTTTTTAAATCTAGGTTTTCCGTGTAGTTATTATTTATTTAAGCCAGCTTTAGTTTTCTTTGTGGTATGTTTATTTGTCCTTTGGTAATAGGATTTTTCTACTACTGTAGTAGTAAACTTATTCAGTATATAGAACTTGAAAACTGACATGTATCACTATGGACAGTAAAGCTACCTTGGCAACTAACCTGTAAAACTAAGGACAGTAAAGTTGTTCAGTCTTAGCAACATGGACAACGGTCTTGTACGGAGCACGTTCACAATACAACATTCAATAAATTGATATAAAAAAACGTCCCGCACTGTGTAAACATATATCAAAGTGTGGATGGAGTCCATCTTATTGTTGAGAAACTCATTTGACCATGCTGACATATAGATCTCAAACAATATGGATTTCCCTCATTTTTTACCATGTATGCAATTAAGTACCAATCTAATGCAAGGCTATTATTGCAGTGGCGGATCAGAGGGGGGCGTAGAGGGCGTACGCCCCCCCCCCTTTTGCTTGCACTTTTTTTTTTTTTTTTTGTTAAATGATTAATCAGACTTGACTTCGTGAACTTTGCCATTTCCCGTGTATTTAATTTTTATGCGACAATTCTTTACTTATAAAGATATTTTTCTCTCGTATTTACTGTAATATATTATTGATTATGTCAAAGTCATGTGATTGGCTAAGGTGGAGTTGACCAGTGCGTCGAAAAAACGTCACTCAGTCATTTTGAAATTCAAATTACAGTAACAAATTGCTTAGGCTGAGGATGACAAGCATGACACCTTCAAAGCGAGTAAGGATCGAGCAAGAACGTATTGACTTCTATTTCACAATTCCAACAAACAGAAAGTAATACTCTATTACACTCTCATGAAAAAAAAAGTTCCACAGCAATATTATTAACCTACGAAAACATGTTGAACCCCACACGCCCAGCCCATTAATAACATTGCTGAATAATAATCCCCAGTCAGTAAGCTCTAAATAGATTTAAAATATAAGGTACAGACCATTTGATTTGAGGGGGCAGTCGGAGATATTTTAGAGAAAACATTCTGACCTGATTTTTGCCTTAAACAAAAATTCTGGCCGTATATGGATTGAAAACAATACCAGTAATTTGTCCACTTTTTTGCTATTAGAAACAAAGATTTTCAACAGAATTATTGAGCATTACATGAACATGATGAATGAAAAACGGGTGTAATTTTTTTTGGGCCGGGGGTTTGCATGTTGTAAATCCCATATCTGACCGGAATGTCTGTTTCGCCGAACTGATATGCTGAATACTTTTTCAAGGCCCGACTTCAACCTGCCTGCTAGGTGTGGCCTTTATGTCTCCATTTGTCAACCGTCATTCACAACTTCGTTGTTATTTTAGACTAATTCGTAGCCTTTCGTTGATTTGGAACCCCTAATTCCCCTTGTTGGGTGAAACATTTCAACCAAACTGTAACGTGTACACAGGGTAAGCGTGTGTATTTCTATTTTAGAATGAGTTCGTTACCAGTTTGATACTGGATCCAAAATGTTCTATTTACAAAACATATAACAAATAATCTTTATTCCTAAATTAACGTCAATGAACCAAAATATGTACAACTGCTCTTTGCGTTTTCTAATAAACTATCTATAAGTATTCTACATTAAATATATACAACTGGTAAAAAATTGTACTCTTAAAAATTTGTACTGGGTAAGGAAAAAACTTGTCCTTCTGGTACAGTTATGTACCCTAAAAGTTTACACACTTGTTCTTGTTTTCTTGGTACTATTATGTACCTTACAAGTTGGTAACAAAGACTAAAACTTGTACTATACGGTACAACAATACGGTTCAGTTTGTAAACTCCACCTAGTACAAGTACGTATTGCTAACAGGCACCAACCTGTTATTTATTACACTTAAGTAAAAATATCTATTATAAGAGACAGCGATTTCAAATATCAAAGTACCGTATCTTTCCATTTTACACTTAATTTATGTTTTTTAGCCAAAAATAGGTCCAAAAAAATTTTGGCCTCGCTAAGTTCGGAGAACTTTACATAAACAGCACCCCACTTTCTAAAATCCTGGATCAACACCTGTATTGGGAAGCCAATTTTCTGCACAACTAAAAAACTTCGACCTTGATATTTGTACAAACAATTTAAATAGGGGTTCTTTTCTCAATCTGCAACTTGGTTATATTCTTGGACTCTTTTGCAATCTACTTCACGGTTGCGGAGTTGCCCAGTGACCCAATTTTGACACGCTTTTCAGCCTTGACCTTGCAGAGAACATGATATGAAAGAATAAACTTGTTATGTGACCGTATAGTTTGGTTTAATCATCTTGCATTCGACCAAAAACACGAAAGTTCTAGGGTAATAATTATGAAACTCCTGTTATAAGAATGTTTTTAGATCTGCTACTATGAACTCTTATACACAGTGGGATCTTCATTTTAAGTGACCATAAATCAAATGTACTTTTTGAAATAAAATGAGGTTGGATTGCCAATTAGACAACTACCCACCAACAATGCATATTGAAAAAAGATTTACGATGAAAGTCATACCAGCGTTTTCGTATACAAAACAAGAATACGTGTGTTGTGAAAAGCTTATCCCACTGTGATAAGTTAACCAACTCTTAGTTATGTTCCGGGAAAGGAAGTAGGTGTTGGATAAGATGCACACAGTGCTCAATTCATCACTGCCAAGCTGCTGGCTAAATATGGGCTGCGTCGGATAGAAATCGACCTTATGCAAATCAACATCAATACATCTGTTCACCTATTTCGGTTTTGAATAAAAAATGAACGGAAAGTCTGGGACTGTTTACAAGTTGAATTTTTAATCGAATGCTACAAAAAGGACCAAACTTATGTTTTATTTCATTTTATTTCGTATATGAATGTTACAAAATCAACCAGAGTCTTATACATGAACATATTTACGTACACATGTACACTTGCATAAGGTCGATTTCTATCAATCGCAGCTCATATGATGTCATTCTGTTCAGAATGAGTCAAACACACCTTTGATTTGTCAAACGCACCTTTGATTTATTTAAGTGTAAAGTAAAACCAAAGCGTTGTTCCACAGATCCGAAAAATTCTCACGTTCAAACACAATTACTGAAGCCTAATGTTTGTTCCGACAAAAGGACAAGGTTAATGCAACATTGTGGGGTATAATATCCCTAGATATTATTTTAGAACATTCTGAAAACTAAATCTATGCAAAGTAGAAATTACGAACACCACTTCCTGTAACCTGAAAAATCCAAACTTTATATTTCGCTCACTATCGGTTCATTCACTCGTGAAGACACTGACCAATAAAGAAATCGATCATTCAAGTTGCACCGTGCTCCCTGGTCCAGAAATGCTACGATAGATTTAAACAAACTTTTTAAGATGGAGACTACACATCCATATAAAGAAAACCACCATTAAAGAGACAAGGCTGAACAGTTAGAGACATGTAGCGATATTAAAGAATACTAATAAAGTGACACGACTTATTGAACATGCATTGCGAGGCCTTCGGGTAGAGTACTGTAGATTATGGTTTTTGATCATTGTGTACGACCGTACGATGACCTACAATTGCTGACATCTACGACATAGTTGTCTCATTGGCAATTTAACCACATCGTATATATTGACCGTTACGGACATGTAGCGATACCAAATAGAGCAGTTCAACCATGCAGATTCTCAATATGGACTAACATTTTTTTCATCGGCTTGAACTTCAGTCGAAACATTTGCTGGATTTCAAGATTCTATTGTGAAGTGGAATAAAGAATATTTTAACAGTTCTTTTATAACTGGTTGTTAACAACAAATATAAGTTTTTTTAAAAGTTTTATTCAAAACATTTCCAGAATAGTCTGTTGGCTCTGGTATTACACGTATCTCTCTATAAGTTTGTTCTACAAAATAAAAAATATAAAATTAGAATGCATGAGCCTAGCTATTCTATATACATATATCAATAGAAAACCAAATTCGGGAGAGACTGTTTTGTGTTACCTTGGTAAAGAGTACAATCACTTAGTGATGTCTCATGTTTGCACATGATGTTTTGTTGCACAAGATGTTTTGTTGCACAAGGTAGATGTTTCGTTGCACAAGATGTTTCGTTGCACAAGATGTTTTGTTACACATGATGTTTTGTTGCACAAGTGCAATTTAAATGTTTCAGCATATCGTAAATGTCATTCATGCTTCTGTCGACTCAAGAGGGTTTCTGGGTGGGGGTCCTTCATTTCTGTATTCAATTTTCTAGGTCATTTCTTTATATTTAAGCACTCTCATTATTCTGTATTCATTTTGTTTACCCTATTCTTTTTGTCATTTATTCTGAACATTTTGCCCATTATTCTCCAGTGTAAATCCATCCAGACCATCTTTAAATACAGCCTATCAAATAATCGATAGAATTAATCCAAACTAATCGACTAACTAATTATCGTTTGGATTTCTTTTTGCATTGAACAACCACTCGTGTAGATAATTTCGCCGTTTCAGAATCTAATGCATTCTGGGAAATATATTCAAAAGTGTACACCAAAGCGTCGTGATTGGTTAAAAACGTCATAAACAACTGAAATTCAACCAATCACGTGACGTTATTTTCATTTTAGGATACGAACAATGAATTTACCCATAGTCCTTTCGATTCTGAAACTGTCAATTAAATATTCTCAAACCATTCTTACAATTGAAACAATTGGTGGAAATATTATGGACTTTTTACAGATGCAAGATTCACGTAGTTTTGTAATTATATGCACAAGTTTCATAATATTTGGTTGAAGCAAACTAAAGTTAGAGAACGGAAACATATTTAGCAATTTTTCCATTTATAAAGGGGCATGACTCAAGAATGGTAAAAGTGACGCCACCCAATTTCGAACTTGATCCGTGTTTTGTAGTAACAAGTATTGTGTACAAGTTTTATAACATTTGGTTGAGGCAACCTAAAGTTAGAGTACGGAAACCAATTTTCGGATGGACAGACCGGACGGACGGACGGACAAGGGCAACACTTAATGTCCCCTCCGCTACGGCGGGGGCATAAAATGCTTTTTAAATATATCGACTTACCATGATATTATCAAGTTCTGATTCCATTAAGTTATTTCTTCTAACTGGTGCTGGAGACTTCATGGATTCTGGACTACTCATTGGATCTGCTACTGCAAAATGAAACAATAACAAAGTGTAAAGGGATGTCCGCAAAGTCATAGTAAATGTAATTACACAATACATAGCTCACAACTAACACATTCTTTGTCAAATAAAACTCCTGGTTCATTTGACGACTAAAACATAGGGATAAACCTAAAAGAGGGCGCTGACACGGTGGTGCTCACTTCCCAAATCCCTATTTTTTTGTACCGTAATTACATCCCACGGTTTACATTTTCCCCCAGATGCCACCTTTCATACCCCTATACCCCATATCCCGGAAGCGTATGACCTTCCTAAATACAGGGGTATTATATGTAGGGGCATTAATAAGGTAGGCCAGTTGCTCAGTATGTATGTCCGTAAACAATCCCTATCCGGATTAATGAGGTGTGTCGCTAACAAAGTAAAGTGAAATACAGAATTTTATAGTTAACAAAATGGGCTAAAAACAACTTCAGTACAAACTAGACACAGGCCATTGTTACAGGGATGGGTAGGTTAGGAGGTACCATAGTTTAAAACAAAATTTGTCGAATTGTAGAATACATCTATACATGTATAGTGCCTAACAAGATTTTGTGAGGTAAACGAAATAGACATTTAAACGATCGTATTGAATTTTGATGAACAAAAATAGGCATTTCGGACACATTTCGACTTTGCTGACCGACTACTTATGTTTGGGATTAATTGTAATTACAACATTATAATGAGACTGAAAAATGTTTCTTTTTGTTAAGATAAACAATAATTCTACCTGGCGTAGCCGTGCGTAAAATGCATTTCAGCATTTCTCTAAAAATTACTTGTTTAATGGAATAAAACGTCCGATTTGTAAACTTGTCTTTTTACTCCATAATAGGCAATAAAAAAATTTTTATCTACTCTGAGGAAAATTTTGTGAAAATATGTGGCAATTCTTACCTTACATACCTTAAGTGTCATTGATAAAAAATATGGGTTCGTCCAGTGTCCAGTTTGAAGGTAATTTAAGTTACTGTACACATTCATGCATGTTCTGATTTAATCAATATACATGTATGAAAAAAATTAAACAGTTTGAAGGTAAACTAATAATAACTTAAGCCAATCAAATTGCGTAAGATTCAATAACAATGACCGGTCCGCATCATAATAAGTAATAGGAGTAAACTGGGTAGGGAGAAAATTACATATTTTAAGTTCTTTTTTCGCAATAACGAATAAAAATTTGTCAACCAAAAGTTTTGCTATAATTTCAAAAAACATGTCGTTCTGCATTGGTATAGTTTTCGGATATTATTTGCAAATTTAGGCAATAGAAAGTTTGGGCTTCAAAAGTCTACATAATTATTGACTTTATACAGAAAATTCACCCTTTCAAAACATTTAATGTTTCACAAAATACATAAATACAAAGTAAAATAATTCTTCAAACACTGCAAAAAAATTCATTCCGATTGGTATAGTGGTATTTTCATAAAGTTCGTTTAAATGAACCGTGGTATAGCAAACATCGAATTCCCTCACAAAATGTTACACACTATAGGACCTTTTCTTTTAATAAACACTTCCGATATAGGCGTTGCATACATAGACAATAATAGTGCATTGACTTGACATATTAACGATATAAGGATGAGGCTTAGAAACGGGGAAATGCGAGGCTCTGCCGAGCTTTTTCCCCGTTTCGGGCCGAATCCTTATATCGTTGATATGTCAAGTCAATGCACTATTATTGTCTTTATACTGCAATCTAAAAAAAAACATTTTCAATTGTTGTTTAATGTGTTAATGTTATTATTTGATTTGAATATTTGGAAACTTCCCCTTTTATAAAAAGGCCTCATATCATGCAGTCGGAGAAATATACAACACAATGAAATGTACATTACCTGTTGAAACCCGCAATCGACGGTGAACGAATTTGTTTGAGAATGAACTAAAATATCAACAATAAGCATAAAACAATGATTTATAGTTTGCAAACCAAAAAAATTAACAAGTGAAATGTTTTTTTTCTAAAAATTACAAAAGAAATAAGTTTGAGTCGTTGTATACATTGGAAACAAGAACAGGTTGAATAGGTCGTATGAATAATTAATTATAATTTCGGCAATTTCTATTTAAATATTCATGAGGAAAAGTGATATCAGGTCAGTGACTGTATATGACATAGAAATATACGGTCAACGCATTTTGACTGCTCAAATAGAACGAGTGCAGTATAAAACCTGAGACTACTACATGCACAAGTGTCATAGTAGTCTGTTCCAACTACCAAAAGAAAACAAATAAGCATAGAAATTTTTGAGGGGTCCAGTTCAGCATCGAAAATTATTTCAAAAGTTGATTTACTTAGGAAAAAACAGTTCTAGTCGAATAACGGTCAATTAAAAATGAACGAACACTGGTCAGATGAAGACTTGGTTGGAAGTTTGCCATGTTAGATACGTTACCTACAAGCAATTCGACGTTTCAAAATCTACTGCATTCTGGGTAATATTTTCAAAAGCGTACATCAAATGGTACTTACCGTCGAAGATGTCCAAACTTCGAATCAATTTTTCAGCATATTCCATTTTCTTAGAGGCTGAAATAAAATACAAGAACTTGCGTAAGCAGCCTTTATTAAGACGAATGTATATAAACGACTAATCGAATAGAGAAATGAGATTCGTAACTTTGGATATTTCGGAATTGTATTGAGGATCATGCTTAAAATTTGAGAAATCAAGAGTATCGTCTCTTCTTAAAAGAGATAACTGCGTCTCGAAAGAAAACGTCGATTGTTATACACTCCTATACAATAAGATGTTTTATTTTCCATTAAATGGGCCAACAAAGAGCATATTACACAAATCATTAAAAAGGTGTGGATGGGGGTTTACAGAATTAGAGAATAATGCCATAAAATGGGCCAAAAGAAAAAAGAATAGAGAATAACGAGGTGCTAAAATATAAAGAAGAGAGAATAATGGGCAAAAAGTATGAAGAGAAAAATGGCCTAAAAAATTTGAGAGTACAGAAATGAAGGACCCCCAATCCAGACCCTGTCTTATTAAAAAAGTGTGATCCTATCTGGCAAAAATTTAACCTTGCTACAATTTCCGCAATTCAACACCTTCAATCATGTTATTTTAATCAACGTGAAAAAAGTATTTTTAACAATCCAAACCCCTTACCCACCTATACCGTATTATAGATACAATGAATAAGCGTTTGTTCTTGAAAAAGAAACCATGAGCCCGGTAAATGAATAGGCTGACTTCACGGCAATGGTTTAAATTTGTATCTGTGCAAATACACATTTTATTTCAGGTCCTTCATTTCGCAAGACGTTTACACAGAAAAAAAACACAATTCACCTATTAAAAGAAAGTAGAGATGTAGAATTGTTTTCCATCATGACCCAAAACAAGTATATTTCAGTGTTCATGTTAAAAAAATATATAATTATAACTTATTTGCTAATTAGGTCTATACAGACAAGTGCAATACACACACATAAATGTTTAACAATTAATAATTGCATTAGCAAATGATGGAACTTTTGGCTGAAGTGGAACTAATTTTCGCAATTCAAGGGACTGATTTACAAAGTCACAGACAGATTAAAAATTCCCCCGTTAAGAACTGATGAGGGTCTGGAGGGGTTTCCTTCATTTCTTTATTCTTTATAATTTTTTTATCATTTTTGTTTTATTTGCTCTATTTAAGCACCATTATTCTCCATTCTTTATTTTATTTGCCCTTTATTTTGCACTTTTGTTCTGATCTGTAAACCCAACCAAGCTAGAACCTCATTACATACTTACTTAAAAATTTCTTAAAGAATTCAATCATTTCATCAGTTGATTTAGCATCTAGGAAAGGCTGTAGGTTTGTTAAGACTTTCATTGCCAACATGTGAATTATCTTGTTTAATTGAATTGTGTTATCGTTATCGAGTACTTTCTTCATCCACTGGCGGTCTTCGCTTGATTTTGCTAAAACTCTCATCAAAGCTTCACCAATGTGTTGAAATAAAATGTTCTCTTCCCTGGAATTACAATTGAAATAGTAATCAATAATGTTTATGAAAAAAACTTGGCCCGCAATAGTTTCCGTAGAGTACAACAAGATTCCCCTCTCCCCCCAAAAAAATAATAACACCCCCCCCAAAAAAAAACAAAACACAAATTTGATAAAAAAAACAAACTAATTTACCTTAATATTTCTTATGTTTAAAAAAAAGAACTTTAAACCAGCTGCAATTGTTTGCACCTGTCCCAAGTCAGGAATCTGATGTTCAGTAGTTGTCGTTTGTTGATGGGGTTCATAAGTGTTTCTCGTTTCTCGTTTTTTATATAGATTAGACCGTTGGTTTTCCCGTTTGAATGGTTTTAAACTAGTAATTTTTGGGGCCCTTTATAGCTTGCTGTTCGATGTGACGCCCCGTGTTGAAGACCGTACTTTGACCTATAATGGTTTACTTTACAAATTGTGACTCTTGAGAGTTGTCTCATTGGCACTCATACCACATCTTATATCTATTTGAATAATCAATCGATATATAGAGATCGCCATACAAAATTCCCCAGGATGCATTTCCTTAAATATGCTTACTCTGGAAGATTAGCACTTTGCCAGTTCTCCTCATAGATCTGTACGATGAGCATAGGGTCGGTACATTGGAACACATCCGAAAAATCTTCGACCGACGATTCCTTTAATTCCTGTTTAATCTTTACCAGTGTTACTTTAGCTTCCACCGCACTCCTCAGATGTTCCCTTACAAATCTTAGGTAGCAAGCGATTTCTAAAAAAGAGTTATGATACACATTTCAAATCTTAGGTAGCATGTGATTTCTGAGAGTTATGATACACATTTCAAATCTTAGGTAGCATGTGATTTCTGAGAGTTATGATACACATTTCAAATCTTAGGTAGCATGTGATTTCTGAGAGTTATGATACACATTTCAAATCTTAGGTAGCATGTGATTTCTGAGAGTTATGATACACATTTCAAATCTTAGGTAGCATGTGATTTCTGAGAGTTATGATACACATTTCAAATCTTAGGTAGCATGTGATCTGAGAGTTATGATACACATTTCAAATCTTAGGTAGCATGTGATTTCTGAGAGTTATGATACACATTTTAAATCTTAGGTAGCATGTGATTTCTGAGAGTTATGATACACATTTCAAATCTTAGGTAGCAAGCGATTTCTAAAAAAGAGTTATGATACACATTTCAAATCTTAGGTAGCATGTGATTTCTGAGAGTTATGATACACATTTCAAATCTTAGGTAGCAAGCGATTTCTAAAAAAGAGTTATGATACACATTTCAAATCTTAGGTAGCAAGCGATTTCTAAAAAAGAGTTATGATACACATTTCAAATCTTAGGTAGCATGTGATTTCTGAGAGTTATGATACACATTTCAAATCTTAGGTAACGGGTATTAATTGAAATAGACTAAATGTTACAGTCTCGTTAACAAGCAAACTCATTTATTCTGGAGAGGCAAAATATTGGATCAATTACTAGTATATATTTTTAGTGGGGAAGGTAATGTTGAGTAAACTCCCTATGGAATTTTGGTAATGTTGAATGCGCTAAGTATTTTGGTATGGATGTAACGCATACCTATTACTGTAAACCAACTAATTTTCGCGAGCGATTTATTTTTTGCGAATTTCGCGAGTAGAAAAATAACACGAATATAAATCGTCGCAAATAAGTTAAACTTGGATCTCTCCTTATTTTAACTGCATCAAGTAAATTTGAATATCGCGAAATTAAATCGCCGCGAAGTGTGCTAGAAAGAGCTAAACGCGAAAAAAAAGTATTCGCGAAAATAACTTGGTTTACAGTATGTTGGAGATCTATAGTGCAGAACCATAAATCTGTATGCAAGACATGTAACACCCAAAAAGATTATACAGACAGAATGTGTACTATACGCATTAGTCCTACACACGCGACTAGACCACGTGATTATACATACCTTCAAACTGTTCCGTCTCCATATGACTGGCTACATCTTCACTTAGAACTTTCTTGAGCAGCTCCGAAGTTTTTGCAACAATTTGTTCAACCTTTGATTTGAAGTTCTTCATATTTTTTCCACGCTTAATGTCTCTCCTCTCATGACGATGATGACGACCTCTCCTACTTACAGCAGATGCTGCATTGATCTCATCTACAGTGTTTCTCCTCCTATGATGACGACCTCTCCTACTTACAGCAGATGCTGCATTGATCTCATCTACAGTGTTTCTCCTCCCATAATGACGACCTCTCCTACTTACAGCAGATGCTGCATTGATCTCATCTACAGTGCCTCTCCTCCCAAGATGATAACGATGACGACCTCTCCTACTTAAAGCAGATGCTGCAGTCGGTCCAGGTTTTTTTATCTTCTCAAGTGTAGATATGATGTAAGTCTCTGCTTTAGACATGAATGTTGTTGTGGTTTTTTTTAAGACATCTGAAATTTAATAATCTTGTTTACTTTGATTGGAAATAAATACGGGTTAGGAGGGGCGAATCCAGCCATTTTTAAAGGGGGGTTCAAACCAGGATAAAGAGGGTTCCAACCATATGTCCCCATTCAAAGCATTGATCGTCAAAAAAAGGTATTTTTATCACGATACGTAGCATGGGTAGGAGCCCATTTTTTCAGTGTAGAACCAATCTACAAGTGGCAAAGGGAAATAACTGTAAAAATCGGTAATTAGCAAATATAATACTAGAACATGGAATTAGGCAAAATCTTTCGGAATTTTGGGTCTTCAATTCTCTTCAATTTCGAACTTTATTTGGCCTTTTCAACTTTTTATTCGAGCGTCACTTACGAGCCCTTTGTATAGACTAAACGTGGGTCTGGCGTAAAATTTTTAGCCCGACATCTATACTAAGTTTATGGACCCCGACAACAGTCAGAACATAAATGAAGAAGGTGCAGGACAGTATAAAGAATATTTACTGAACAAGTTACTTACCGCACTCGTCTAAACTCGGTAGATTCTGTTCCTCCATCTAAGGACTGCAGATTGTTATCTAAGGACTGCAGATTGTTATCTAAGGACTGCAGATTGTTATCTAAGGACTGCAGATTGTTATATTTTACCATGAATATAGAATAATTAAACCAATTACTTCAGAACTAAAGATTAAGTTACCATATACAGACTTGTAAATAAATTATATACTTGTATGATATTCAGGATGGTGGAGGGTTTTAATATTGATTACAATCTTGTATACATTCTATTAGAGGTTGTCCTGAAGGACGGAAACAGATTCAGTGGTAAGGTAAGGCAAGTTACTTACCAATCAAGATTTGATTTAATTGTGTCCCTTTGCACTGATAATGCTCTGCCATAACAGCTTTGGAAAATTCCATCATAAAACCATTCAAGGCCGTCTCTAGACCTATATCGTCTTTCTTGGCCCAGAATGCATCCAACAGAGGGTCATATAATGCAGCTTCATAACCATTTATTTCTGAAAAATAAATGACTGGTTTTAAAATGTAATCTTTATGAGGGGTCTGGATGGGGGTCCCTTCAATTATGATGTTTTAAGCCATTTTTTTCTCTTTACATATTGTGGCCATTGTTCTATATTTTAGCACCCAATCTCTATTGTTTTTTCGTCCATTTTCTATAGTATTGGTTCATTATTTTCTTTTCTCGGTTAAATGTCCGGACCATCCTTTGTCATACCAACTACTAGTATTTAATTTATTTAGTTCACTTGGTTTTTTCTAATAATGAATTAAAGATTTTATCATTTCAATAACTGAAAATCGTTTAGGAAAATTATAGAATTGTAAAAACTGAAATTTTTTTAACGTGTCTCCATCAAGAAAATGAGTATAAAACTCGCCGTGTTAAATGAAATATAAAAGAAAAAAATAAGCATAAACAATGGTTTAAATGTAAACTTAAATAAATGATAATTAACGTACATGTAATTGCTAAAATGACATCAAACTTCTAGTAATGTTTTAGCCAAACATTTAAAAACTGAGAATGTGTCCATAGTTCACGGATGCCCCACTCGCACTATCATTTTCTATGTTCAGTGGACCGTGAAATTGGGATCAAAACTCTAATTTGGCATTAAAATTAGAGAGATCATATCATAGGAAACATGTGTACTAAGTTTCAAGTTAATTGGACTTCAACTTCATCAAAAACTACCTTGACCAAAAACTTTAACCTGAAGCGGGACAGACGAACGGACGGACCGAAAAACTTAATGCCCCTCTACTATCGTAGGTGGGGCATAAAAATCGTTAGTTGAAAGGCTAGAATTTCTTTTAGCTATTGAAATTATAGGAACAATTTTAATAGCTATCAGTTCATTACAACTTAGGGAGCTACCATTTGATTTTTATGGGGGGGGGGGGGGGGGGGGGGGCTAGGATGAAATTTGAAAAAAATAGGCAGGACAGGATTTTTGAGTAAAAAAAAGGCAGGATGAGATTATTTGCAAAAATAAAAGGCAGGATGGCAATTTATGTAAAAAAAAAGTCAGGATAAACTAAAAAAAAAAAGGCAGGACCGAATAGAGTGAAAAATAAAAAGGCAGGACCGAATAGAGGGGAAAATAAATAGGCAGGACAAAATTTTTCATCCTAGCCCCCCCCCCCCCCCCCCATAAAAATCAAATGGTATCTCCCTTATACCGTCTATACCTTTTCGTTTACAATCACGAAGTACGAAACAAATGGGTACGAAACAGATACAGTCCTAGATCACATGACTTCGCTTTTTACGTTCTTAAGGTGGTACATAACATAACACCACAGGGAGGCAACTCTGTAAAAATCAGCTGAACGTTTTAATCACGTTCTATTGTCAAGGAAATATTGAGCTTCTCAATGATCAAAATTAGTGTTTGTCAAACTACTATATATCCAATGAAAATTTTCCGATAAAGTGTATCGTTCAAGTTTTTTTTTAAATTTTCATATTTTTGTTAAAGGGTCAAAGTGAATATTTTGTCAATTTTATAAAAATTAAACGAGCCCAACTAATTTTAGTCGAGGTGTTAGGTACCACTTTAAAGACTTCGCATTTTTTTCTCGCTCATCTAAGTTCTTGGTCACGGTTAGTACTGTTATGTTTTTTACCGAAATGCGAAGTCATATCGGATTAGGAAATTCCTTTCGCATTGACCATCAATATTTCAAGGCGGAAAAAAAATAACCTATCTACAAGAATTAATACACCTTATCGCTATTTAGTTCATTCCGGAAAAAAAACCCAGTCATTTAGACAACTTCTTGTTTGGGTCAAATATGGCAAAAACAAAGGTCATCGATAATGAGCTAAGGGAGGAAAAAGGTTTCGAAAGTGAACATTTTAAAATTTTTATAAGTTTATGAAGCAATTTTTAAAAGACAAATAAAAGCCATTAAAATGCTCTGTTTGATGTGTTTACGATGGTTTAAACATGCCTCTATGAATAGTTTTATGCACAATATATTGTTTGAACATGGCCCCCGATAGCTTCAACTGGTTTGAAAAAGTTGTGTAATTTTAGAACTTATCCGGATTAGCATACATAGCGGTAAGGTGTATTTTTTAAGGAATGTGATAAAACGAATGTCAAAATATAAATAATGGTATGATTGTCAATGACCATTATTTTACAATATTCACTTATATTGCAGAGAAATTTGGAATATGTGGACTTATTGCCCAGATGTAATCTTGAAATTCTTACAATTACAAGGTAACCGAGATCTATAATTTCAATTTCTTACTTAATGAATAGTACATTTATATGAAAAGTAGATTTGGTTTGTAGTGATGCATTCAATTGTATCGATTTAGGTAGAACTATAAATGTAAATAGCACAAAACTATAAATATTAGTTTTAAAATTCAGTTAACTATTAAATTTGAGCACATTTTCACACTAAATATCGTTGTAAATATTTGTTAAGGGAGCTACCATTTGATTTTTAGGGGGGGGGGGGGGGGGGGGATAGGATGAAATTTGAAAAAAATAGGCAGGACAGGAGTTTTGGGTAAAAAAAATTCAGGATGACAATTTATGTAAAAAAAATTCAGGATAAACTAAAAAAAAAAAAAAGAAAGGACCGAATAGAGTGAAAAATACAATAGCAGGACACAGATTACAAATAAAAAAAAAAATGCAGGACAAAATTTTTCATCCTAGAAAAAAAAAATCAAATGGTAGCTCCCTAAGTGTTAAACCTATATCCCAAGTGGGAGTGCTCCGATATATAACGGAAAAAAATACCTGTACAGAACAGAACAGATTGATAAAAACATTCAATTGAATTGATTAAATAGTCCCAATACTTCCCGTTCGCACCATTACTTCGGTTTGGATAATTGAAAAACATTTTCATTTCATTTTTGTTTTGATAGGGGAAATTGACTTGAGATAAAATCTTGTTCATTAATGTATGTGAAGATTGATCGATATTGACGCCGCATCAGCGCAAAAAGGTTCTGCGTCTATACCAAGAGCAAAATTGAACTAAATTACTAGACTATTTTCATATTACCGACTTTTGACTCCGGATTATATAATTTGTCGACTGGTTACCTTGGACATCATGGTACTCGGTCAGGTAAGAGCAACCAAAATAAGTAAAATCAAACATAATCGGTGTAATTTGAGGGGAAAGTTCTGTTTTCCGACGATTTTGTAGTGAAAAAAAAAATATTAACCAGGTAATTTTCCCCCGAAATTGTACCGATTGAAAGCTTGGTTTTACTTCTTTAGCTTGCTCTTACCCGACTTGGTACCATGATGTCCAAGGTAACCAGTCGACAAATTATATAATCCGGAGTCAAAAGTCGGTAATATGAAAATAGTCTTATTATACTCCATATGGAAAGTGCTCCTACTTGCAGGAGGCTTATTCTCAGAAGAGGCAAACATCCAAGTTGAATAAAAGATACATAAACCAGAAATTATTTTAATATAGCACTAGAAATAAAAGAAACATGGTGATTTTTTTTTAGTTTAGCAAGAAGTATAAATCAAAACAAAATCAAAATTTTCATTCATAATTAAAGGGTCAATTTAGAAAATATAAATCAATACAAATCACAAACTTCACACAATATCCACAGAAACACCACATGCAATCTAGCATACATGATTATTTAATAATATATAAAAAAGAGATTAAGAATAAATATAAAAACGTGATTAAGAACTTTAGGGGTAAATTCATTAAATAAATATACATCATTAAGGACCGCCAATTTCTGTAGAACACTGAAGTCCTGTCCTTTACTGATTGGTAGATAATTTTAATAAATATCAAAACTACGGTTAAAACAATAAAATTAATGTTAAATGTACTCATTTTTTTACTTCAGCTTTTGTTAACAAGGCAATGTGAATGGCCCGGAAATGCCGCATGCCCTATGTTTTTAAAGTTGCATAAGATGGGGTTATATTAGGTTTGCATTGAAGTCAACGGGATATTTTTTTACTGAATTTACCCCTATACGAGGAGAAAGAGCCAAAGGATAGCTCCATTAGTTCTCGAGAGTTTAAGCCGCAAATCAACACGTCAGGATGACTAAAAGATAAAAATGTGATCATGTCCGTTATTAACATATATAACGTATTATGTAGAGTAAAAAAAATAAGAACATGCATTATAAATTTAAAAAGGGTTTCAAATTATGCTACTTAGATTTGAAAATATGGACAAACTAAGATCTAAACAGTTATTAGGCCCAAAGAAAAACAATTAGAACACAATTATACTTACCTACTTATTTCTTGAAAAAACTACGCACTTGCTTTGACCTTTTAAAAAAAACTTACCTTTGCTATCCGTTTTGGGAAATCCTCTAAAGAATCCTAGTAGTGTATAAAACGCAGGGTCGACGCACGAATCTTCAGATTCCTCAGAATTCTGTCCAGATGAAGCTTCGTCAGATACGGATCCACTGGTTTTGCCATTTTTGTAAATTCTTCGAGCAGGAATGGATGGCGCTCCAGTCGGTTCAGGCGTCACTTCCCCCGATGCCTCACCACTCGGTCCAGCTGTAACTTCCCCCGATGCCTCGCCGCTCGGTCCAGCTGGAACTTCCCCCGATACCTCTCCGCTCGGAAGAATCTCCAAGAATCTCCAATTAACGGTCCACTTGGTCCAGGTTTTGGTCCAGGTATTGGGCCAGGTGTTGATCCAGATATTTGTCCAGGTATTGGGCCAGATATTGGTCCAGATATTGGTCCAGATATTGGTCCAGATATTGGGCCAGGCATTGGTCCAGATATTGGGCCAGGCATTGGTCCAGGTATTAGGCCAGGCATTGGTCCAGGTATTGGTCCACTTGGTCCAGGATTTTCGCCAGACACTTCAATTCCTGAAAACACATGCATGGTGAGATAATAATGGGCAAAAAATATACAGAAGTGAAAAATGGACAACATAAATAAAGAATAAAGAATAATGAGGTTCTAAACTATAGAGAATAATGGATAAAAAGTATAAAAAGAGAGCTAGAAAAATGGCCTTAAAAATTTAAGAATACAGAAATGAAGAACCCCCATTCAGACCCTCATGCATATCGTGTTGCAACTGCGACTTGAATGAAGCATTAGTTCGGCATTCATTTAGCGACAAAATAGTTAACGAAATAATCCAAATAATGTTTATATATATTTGTAAACAAATTGCGTTTCTTTTCCTAGAGTATAGTTTAGGGAAAAAGTTATCAAACTTCCATTTTTCTTATAACCGGTTAACCTACACGAGGGTCTGGATGGGGTGGGGGAGGGGTCCTTCATTTGTGTATTCATTAATTTTTTAGGCCATTTTTCTCTATTTATATTTTTTGCCCATTATTCCCTATTCTGTAAACCCCCATCCACACACTCATACATGTGGAGGTTTCATAACGATGGTATAATTCTATTGGCAGATGACAATCAAGGGGTTGTATGTACTTAGATCTACTAATTAATCGCAACATTTAGACATACACCGTACATTATTTGTGGGGCGTCAATAGGTGTAGGGGTCTCCTCTGAAGAAACAATTTTATTCAATCTTAATAAAAAAAACCACTTTTAAATAAAAGATGCGTTTTTTAAACTCAATGTTCTTAATATTTCCCCACTCTTTAAAAGGAAACACTATTTCATGCATTTGTTTTCTGAAATTGTTCCCCACACAATAATCAAATGTTCCCTACACAATAAGAATGAAATTCATTTATAAAAAATAATAAAACACATGGTCGGTGCCTTATACTGCATATGTTCTTGATAACCACGTGGCAACAATGTTTAGAAATAATTACATTACATGTAGGTTTCCTTAAGAATCCGCAATTTTGATTGGCTTACAATCGCAAGGCCCTCTACACACTTTACACGTGGTGGTGACGTGACGTACACAAACTGAATCGAGTACACTCAAAACATAAATAGTTGAAGCATGAACTTGTGTATTACCTTTGAAATATGTGTTATAATATATATATATATATATACAGTAATACAATTATTCATAGTTACTTTGTCTATAATATATGTTCTAATAATTTGAAATCTTATAGTTCAATATATAAGATAATTTCTACTCATTCTGTCATCTGTAATTATAATACACCTAATCGCTATTTATTCCATTCCGGATAAGTTCTAAAATTACACAACTTTTTCATCCAGTTGAAGCTATCTGGGGCCCTGTTTAAACAATGCACCATGCACGATACTTTTTAATGAGATCTGTTTAACATATCGTAAATACTTCAAACAAAATATTTTTTTACTATAATTTGAGTTTCGAAAAAGTGGATCATAATCTATCAAAGTTTCGTTTTGATCGCTTTCTAAATTTTCCCCTCCCTCAGCTCGTTACTGGTGACCTTTGTTGTTTACCTGTTCAAGGCCTGTTGACCCAAACAGGAAGTTGTCTAAATGACTGTTTTTTTCCGGATTGGACTAAATAGCGATAAGGTGTATGTACTATGTAATTGATGCTCCTGTAGCGCAGTTACTGCGTCTGAGTTTGTTTAAGATTGAATTACTATCATATTTTATTTCTGTATAAAATACAACACTACAAACATATATCATTGCAAGTGCCATCCGTGACAATGTTTAAGGTTCACCAGAAGGAGTTGAAAAATATGGCCGTGTTTTCACCACAAAATCTACTACGAGTACAGACAAATTGATGCATCTAGGAAAGTTAAGGCATGGCAGGATCTAGATATATAAAAGTTATATGTAGTCTGTTTCAGAAAAATAATTTTGGATTTTGATGTGCATTTTTTTTTCCAGTCTGCAGAAGATTCCAAAATAAACAAACATGCGAGTTTCATTTGATACGGTCCACTCAGTTAAACAATTTAAATCACCTATTGTTTGCAGATGTCTATTGTCAATCTATTTTCCATTTAAATCAATACTACTCACAACATTTATTATAAGAGGGGAGCTTCTCAAACATTTCCCAACTTAGTTTATTTTGGCACCTTCTGCAGGAATGAAAAAAATAAATAGCATAATCCAGAAAAGTTAATAATTTTCTGAAACATAAAATGTATTTAAAATTTAGTTATCTAGTTCCTTTCTTCCATGCCTTAAACATTTTGCAGGTGCACAGGTTTGTCTGTACTCAAAAGAGTAAAATTTGTGGTGGAAATACGGCCATATTATGCAAAAGGTTATGATGAACTTTAAATAATGCATTGAAAAAAATAAACAAATGATTACAGATACGAACCATGCATTAATTTCATGGTTGCAGCATAAAAATTTAATTACAAGAATTGAATTCTACTTTTTATAATCTTGTAGGATTATAGGGTTGTAAAAAATGAAAACACACGTCAAATAATTTCATGCGTCCGAAGCTCTTTTCTGGAGTTACCTCAGAGAGCTGCCATTTGATTTTTATGGGGGGGGGGGGGGGATGGCTAGGATGAAATTTGAAAAAAGGCAGGACAGGAGTTTTGAGTAAAAAAAAAGAGGCAGGATGAGCAAATTGGCAAACAAAATGCAGGATGACAATTTATGTAAAAAAGTCAGAATAAACTAATAAAAAAAGGCAGGACCGAATAGAGTGAAAAATAAAAATGCAGGACAGAGATTACAACTAAAAAAAAATGCAGGACAAAATTTTTCATCCTTGCTCTCCCATAAAAATCAAAATGTAGCTCCCTTACCTTAATCAGGAACGCCCAGAACCAAATATTTGAAAGCCGAGAATGTATACAAGGACCGAAACAGTAGGTGATGAATATCATTATGTTATGACATGTAATGCTCTAACTCAAGAAAGAAAGAGGTTGTTACCACACTATTGTACTTTTTGTCCAAATGTATATAAATATCAACAATTAATGAGCTCTAGTAACTATACTGATCTTGAAAAACTATGTAGATTTATAAGAATTATAAATGTGAGGGTCACTCCTCCTGGTTAGTTTGTAATTTAATGTTTATGTCTGTATTGTTCACATGTGCTTTAATATTTGATGTAATTATTTATACATATATATTCTCTGTAACTATGTAGTTTGTAGTTAATGAGAAATAAAATTCATTCAGCAATAGTTGGAGCTATATGACAACAAACATACCTAAAAAAATAGCCAAATTCATCTAAGGTCAACTTTGCCTGAGGGAGTTGAAACCTTAGTTTCTTTATTATTTCAAAATTTATTAACGGACAATTTTAGAAAGCGTTGATCGTGTGCACATTGTTAATATGAAGCGCGGAAAGCAAAATGTGATTCGGTCAACGCTTTTACACCAAGAAGATTAAAAAGATGAACATTCAATTCTGAAAAAAAAGAAATAATTAGTACTAAACGCTCGATGTTACTTTTAACTTTCTGGTTTTAGTTCTTTAAAAGGTTACAATAATCCAATTTTCTGTAGTTTCTACTGTTGTGAAAATGTTGATGTGCGCACATTTCTAATAGTGTGCTAAATTTAACGCGTTTGTGCCCAAATAAAAAGCACTAAAGGCAACATTGGATTACTTGATATTTAAATTTCGACATCCTTTAGAAAAGTGTATAGCGGAGTTTTCTTAGACGTTTGTCGATAGTTCTAGTACAAATTCATCGCGCTTATAAAAATAACACCGACAAAAAAAAATGCAGGACTATAAAGATATAAGGAGATGTGGTATGATTGCTAATTAGACAACTACCCATCAGAATTCAAATGAATGGATATAAGCAATTATAATATGTCACCGTGCGGTTAACAATTTACAACTAAGGGAGCTACCATTTGATTTTGAAAAAAAAAGGCAGGACAGGAGTTTTGAGTTAAAAAAAAAGGCAGGATGACGATTTATGGAAAAAAGTCAGGATAAACTAATACAAAAAAAAGGCAGGACCGAATAGAGTAAAATAAAAAGGCAGGACAGAGATTACAACTAAAAAAAAATGCTTGACAAAATTTTTCATCCTAGCCCCATAAAAATCAAATGGTAGCTCCCTAACAAATATGACATATGAACAACGACAAACCCCTGTATTACATGCTCCCGACTATCGGATGTTACTTCAATCCGTCTTTCCTTTTCATAAAAAGAAACGAAATTACATTACTGTAGTAATGCTCTTCATTGACAAAAAACAGACAAGACTCTTTTACAAAGATAAGTAATTTACCAACGATGTAATAACGATTTCATTTCATTTTTAGTTCCTATTTAGAAAAAAAAAATTTCGACAGCCTTTAGAAAAGTGTATAACGGCGTTTTAAGGAGATGTGGTATGATTGCTAATTTGATAACTACCCATCAGAATTCAAATAAATGGATATAGTAGATTAATGGAGCATGTAGTTCAGGGGTTTGTCGTTGATTCATGTAAAATTCCAAACAATTTTGAACAAAATAGTAACGAAATAAAAAGTTACTTATAAAACATATAAATTAAAATATTTAAACCTTACCTCCAACTAAGCACAAGACTAGTATAGCTACACTTAACTTCATCCTTGACGGTCTATGATAGATAATACCACGTTTTTTTTTATATCTTATATAGTATTCCATCAAATGCTTTGCACGAAATTTACACTTTAGATTTGGCGCGAATAATTGTTTAGGAGGTTAAAATAGGTTGTACGCCGGCATAATAAATAATAATTAAAAGATTTCAATAACAATGGCTAAATGAATTTTCAAACATTGTGATATTTATTTTCTTATGATTCTGTTTTAAATATTCAATAAATTTGTTTTGAAGAAAAGGTATATATAACCAAATAATGATATCCTATTTTGTACCTCAAATTGAAGTGTAATAAAGTTTAAGATCGTTAACTTTTTTTACATAATTAAAAAAATGAATTGTTGCTAAAAAAAAATCTCTCATCCCTGTTTTCCCATAAAAAAAAACATCTAGCTGTTTCAATACTTTTTTAATACAACACATGTAAAAGCGAAAAATAGTTTCCGTTTTGTTTCAAAATCTTTAAGATATATATGCTTGAAAAAGAGCTTGACTCAAACTTAGATTTGGGTTGGTTTTTATTTGCAAATACCTTCTTTATTATAAAAAATGAAGATGTGCTATGAATGCCAATTAGACAACTGTCCACCGATGTTCAAATGATATGGATGTAAGCAATTATAGGCAACCTTACGGCCTTCAACAATGAGAAAAACACATTAAATAGATTAAACTCTATGCTCAATTCTGAATGCGTCAGATATCTTTTTTTAAAGATAGTACTTGTTTTAGATTTTCTTTAATATTTAAATTATTTTTTACCGACGAAGCTATCAACAAGTAAGGGAATATTCTGTTAGATAGGATTGTTTTAATTTATTTTCATAATGTCCTTGCAGTGCGAAAAACTACCTAACGTATCATAATCAACATATTTTATTTATTTGAAAATATGATGACAAATCACAAGCACAGTAGACTGATATATTGCGATTTTTTTTAAATATAGACACTTTGGCGAATATATCGAGAAGACCGTACGTAAATGTGCAAAAATCGAGACCACCTAAATTATAAAGATTCGAACTTTCAAATGCAAAGTATTTTTTTTAAAATACACACACATATTGTCAAAATGAATAAAATATGTTCATCTTGAAATTTTCTGTTACGATAAATGTAAAACCGTGTGCTATATAATTTAGTTTTTGAAAATGGAATAGTTCGGGAATATGTCGAATGAACTAATTTTGTGTATTTATAATTTCAAGATTTTTTTGTCAATATGCGCCAAAGAATTAATAGTAAACATATGAGTCGGTTGTTATTGTTTTGGTTATTCATAAATACAGTGCATTACGTTTGCACATGAATGGATGGTTTTACAGAATAGATCTAGAGAATAATGGCCAAAAAAAATAATGAATAGAGAAATATGAGCAAAAAAATGAAAGAATAGAGAATAATTGGGTACAAAAGAATAGAAAAATACTGTAAATGAATAAAATAATTAGGTAATAAAATACCGATTATAGAAATGAAGGATGTACAGAATAAAGAAATCGTCTAATTAGAGAAAATAATTCTGGAAAAATCAATTTTATGGGAATTTTACAGAATAAGCGTTATCTTTAAAGATAAAGAAAAATGCCCAAAATATTTAAAGAATACAGAAATTAAGGAACTTCCATACAGATTATCATATATTACAAATATAAAAATTCGAACTCATATGTATAGCAAAAAAAAAATGATTTGAGGATATTTTTTGTCACATTCACATTACGTATCAAATGATGGCTCCTTTGGAGCTCGGTATATCATAACACATTCACAGTTTGTTTACTATATTAACATGAAATTTCATCGTACTTAACGTGCCTATTCCTGGAATATTTTCCACTGGCCGTTAAACCGAAAACAACAATCCAAATAGACGTCTGATTTTTTACGAATTGTAAATATCAATTGTAAGTCGAAAAAAAGAAGAAAAAGTATTAGGAAGCTACCATTTGATTTTTATGGGGGGGGGGGGGGGGGGGGGGGGGGGGGGGGGGGCTAGGATGAAATTTGAAAAATAGGCAGGACAGGAGTTTTGAGTAAAAAAAATAAGGCAGGATGAGACACTTTGCAAAACAAAAAAAGGCAGGATAAAATTGAGAATGGAAATGGGGAATATGTCAAAGAGACAACAACCCGACCAAGAGCAGACAACAGCTGAAGGCCACCAATGGGTCGATCTTCAATGCAGCGAGAAAATCCCGCACCCGGAGGTGGTCCTCAGCTGGCCCCTAAATAAAAGGTAGGACAGAGATTACAACTAAAAAAAATGCAGGACAAAATTTTTCATCCTAGCCCCCCACCCACCCCAAAAAAAAAAATCAAATGGCAGCTCCCTTAGCGTTTCAAGTAACAGTTTTAGAAAGAGGATGACACAAAGATTCCAAACGCCCGCTTAATCTTTTGTAATGTTTTCCAACTTCCCACTTTTAATGTTTACTTTTCCCAAGATCTCAATTGTTTACCCCCTTTATCCCACAACCCACTTGTTACCCCCTTTATCCCACAACCACACTTTTTACTCCCTATTCCCACATCCCCCTTTTTTACCTCCTATATATAAAAATAAGAAGATGTATTATGGTTGCCAATGAGACATCTCTCCACAAGAGACCAAATGACACAGAAATTAACAACAATAGGTCACCGTACGGTCTTCAACAATGAGCATCGCCCATACCGCATAGTCAGCTATAAAAGACCCCGAAATGACAAATGTGAAACAATTCAAACGAGAAAACTAACGGCCTAAATTTTGTATAGCCCAAATAGCCACTCGTTTAAATCTATATATATATATTCCGCACCAAAAAAGCGTGTCACGCCCTTTTTAAACAATTTGCAAATGTTGAGCATTTCTAACCAAAAAAACTTTCTCATTGTTTTACTCAATTTTCTCGGTTTGACTATGCATTCATTACCCAGTTACTATTTTTAAGTATAGAGTATAAAAATGTGTGTTTAATATAGTTTTAATGTTAATTAGAAAAAGTGTAAGTCTTTCAAGGTACACGTGTGTTGGTTGACATCTCCAAATTATATATCAGGCAGAACTTACGAAGTCAGTGTTTTTGGTATTGGAATCCCCCTTCCAAAACATCAGATTAAAAAAATAGATAGTAAATGCAAAACTTCATGTCGTGTTGAAGAATCTGTGTTAGTTTTGTGCAACGCCGTCAAGCCGTTCGCAAGAAGTTAAGGAGTAAAAAACTGATATAAATATAAAAAAGAAGATGTGGTAGGATTGCCAACGAGACAACTCTTCACAAGAGACCAAAAGGCACAGAAATTAACAACTATAAATCACCGTACGGCCTTCAGCAATGAACAAAGCCCATACCGCATTGTCAGCTATAAAAGGCCCCGAAATGACAAATGTGAAACAATTCAAACGAGAAAATTAACGGCCTAATTTATGTACAAAAAATGAATGAAAAACAAATATGTAACACATCAACAAACGACAACCACTGAATTACAGGCTCCTGACTTGGGACAGGCACATACAAACAGAATGTGGCGGGGTTAAACATGTAAGCGGGATACCAACCCTCCCCTAACCTGGGGCAGTGGTGTTACGGTACAACATAAGAACGAACTATAAAAATGATTTTAAAAAGGCTTAAATCATCAGATGGATACAAATAGAAATACATCTAACAAAAACACAGAGTGGGACGTGGCCGGGTACTTGTACATCCCAACAACAAAAAGACACTACGTACAGATCTGAGAGTACTCGCAGTTACTGACAGCTAGTTCAAAGCCAATAACAACTAATAAAAAAAATCATGCATCTAAGACTAAATTATCAATCATTACACATCCAACATCCAATGGATTTAGTGTAAAGACGTCATAAACAGTCAGAGAAAAACATGACCTTGTGCAATGCCAAGATACAGGTACCGACAGATTGTAGATCCATGAATGTGCATATGTATATAACAATAATATTTAGTTTGCTTTTAATTTACTGATAAAAAAATCAATATCAATACCAATAAAAACAATATTCAAAGATCTAATTACAGTGTTGAATTGGTAACCTTTTAGAATAAGTTGACTTAAAGGATCCATAAGTTTACCAGGATCGTTTCTAAATTTCCGGGCACGGTAAACAACATCTCCGTAAAAATGAGGATGTGCTATCCCGTTTGAAAAGTTTATCAAGTTAAGAAAAGTGTTAAGTTATCAATAAATTTACGAGAACTAAATGCACCGGAAATTTTAACAAGTACAGAAGCTACTATATTATGCTGACTCATTGCAAAAGGTATTCCACTGGACTAATATATTCTGTAGCTGTTTCGGATATTTTATTTTTTCTTATCAAATTTAAGTCTATAAAGATATACAGAAAAAGTGAATATGAATAGAGATGATAAATCGTTTGTTTTGTTTCATATGTTTTAAGGACAATGAAGTGGACTCAAACACGCCATAGGATAAAAAGGTGTACCCGACTCCCTCTTTGCGGTGTAAGACTATAATAATGATGATCGAGGATGATTGATTTGTGAGTAACGTCCAGTGGTAAATATTACATGCATGTCATGAAGGGATTATGTTCTTTTTAACCGGGCCCGATATGGTGGTGTTGCATCTTAAAAAGTCTACCCGAATTATTTCAGTTTGCAGCGATATCCGCTCAAAACCAGTGCTAAGGGCAGTCTTAAACTTGCAGTGAGGTGGGAGATTTTTTGCTCCGTGTTGATTCACTGTGACTTCGAGATGAAGAACAGCAATCAAAACGCTGTTCGTTTGTTTTTGTGTGTGTGTTTTATTTTGTTACTGTTTAAGTACTGTGTCATGGAAGGATACCCCGTATGTTTTTCTATTATGTAAATGTGATATCAATGTGAACCCAAATTTGTCTGAAGTTGACCTTAGATGAATTTGGCTATTTTGTTTTCTCTTATCATCAAATAGCTCATAACATTTTAGGTTGAACGTTCCTGGTGAAGATAAATACAGAAAAGCGCTTCAGATGCGCTTCAGAGGCACGAAATGTATAAAGTGTTTATTTCACTATTGCAGATCGAC